TTTTTGACAGTACATGGACATGAATTTCCTCTGTGAATTTTAAAAATTAAGATATATTTTACAGAATGTTATTGCATACACAAATACTAGTAATTAACTCACTCAAAATGTTTTGAATAGTATGAAATTAAACTGCTTTTGCCCCAAAACATTTCTTATAAACAGAAAAAACTTTCAATTGAATACTATACATGTATATGCAGCATCCATAATAAAAAAAAATGACTAACTAAACTTTTGTAAGGATTTTAAAGCACCTTTAGTTTTAAATTCCATTCTAAGTACAGTCATTATCTGCAACTTTTTCCTGAAAAAAGTATTAGCCATAATTCACAGTTAACTGACTAGAGCCATCCTCCGAACTCCTATAAGACATCACAGTAGCAAGCAAGCAAACACAACATAATAACGGGCCCTAAGCCGAGGCCTGATAATAATCATCTGCGTGCCCATGTCCTGCTCCGAGACGTTAATAGAGCTGTGTTGATTCACTGACGGCCGAGTGTAGTACGACCCCGAGCGATGGTCGAAATGTGTACTGTCAAAGCTGGCACTGACGCTATCCATGTCCTCGGTCTTCTGAACATTTGTCTGGTAGGGCATGCTCACTGTGTCGTCCTCTGGGATTTCGTCGACTTGATTTTTATAGGAGAACAGAATGCGGGGCTGGGTGTGCCTGAAACAGGTAGAATGGACAGACTCGTATACAATTTACTTAATTTCGTCGACTTGATTTTTATAGGAGAACAGAATGCGGGGCTGGGTGTGCCTGAAACAGGTGATTTGGACAGACTCGTATACAATTTACTTAATTTACACTGAATTCACTTTTTTAATGATTTGTTAGTTGTACAATTGCTTAGTTGTACATGTATATATTAGTACCCGATTTGGTCAAGAGGCCCACGGGCCTTATAGGTCAAGTATCATGTATTTATATAATCCAAAAGCCATTTCACAAATTTTGAAAGACAGATCATTTTTACAGCAACACAAATGGCCCTGATTGAAAGAGGCCCCTTCTTCAAGAGCATTTTTTTTTATGTTTAGGTGATAATAAAATAAGAGGAAAAGGAAATAAAAAAAAAATTTTGGAGGTAGCTTTCTATTCTAATAGGCTCCTTAATACACATAATGCTTACAAATAGGAAAGTAGAACATTTAATTGCTTATTTCATAGAATTTGAGTTATATAAATTTTGTGATGTTGGTCAAAATATATTTTAAAAATAAGAAAATATTTAACACATGTGTTAGGTGAATGTGTAGACCAAAATTTACTTGATGCCTAAAATTATAATTATTATAATAAAACAGACAGGTTTTTTTTTCAATTATAAAATAATTTCTCTGAGATCAAATATATTTGTATATTCAATAGTTGAATTTTTTTTTATTTCTTCGATATTTACAAATGGACTTAAGTTTTAATTACATCTGATGCATAAGCAACCCTTATCTGAAACACTAAGCTATGTAAACAAGAGGCACACGGGCAAAAACCAGGTGAAGTAGATATAGCATGTCATGTCAAGTCAACAACACTGGAACAAAATGAGATGACCGGAAGTGCGAAATCATACATTTTCATCGGAAAGAAAATTTTTTTTAATGAAAATTCAAAACCTTTAAACTGAAAATAAAATAAATCCTGGCCTTAAATATGTATTTAGATCAACTATTACGTAGACAGGATGATAAATCAAAGGCCTGAAGGGCCACAATGGCACTCTTGCTCATCATGACTCTGCTTTAGATATGGCAGTGATATCGTGAAATGGGGCCATATTACAATTTTGATAGCTCTTCTCATGTTGTACATATTGCTTAGAAATAATGCATTTTCACTACCTACTTATTTAGCCCCGCCCTAGCACTAGAACCCTGACCCCAGGGCTATGAACTTCACAATTTTGGTAGAGGACTCAATGCTCATTACAATCATGTAAACAGTTGGAAGTTGCTTTTTTGATGTCAGGAGTAAAGAAGAAGATTTTTAAAGATTGCATTAATTTTAGTGGTTTTGGCCCCACCCTCCCAGCCCCCAGGGGGGCAGGGGTGATATAAACTGCCAATTTTTGTTCCCTTACACATAGATGCTTTGTGCCAAATTTGGTTGAAATTGGTTCAGTGGTTGCAGAGAAGAAGCTGAAAATGTTCAAATGTAACGCACGACGCACGACGACAGACGAAAACGGATAGCAATAGGTCACCTGAGTTTACTCAGGTGACCTAGATAAAAACTCATTTTCAAATGATTTTGGTCCAACTAAACAGCTTGAGAACTGGTTTAAATGTGTAGTCACTAGTCAGTACCACGGTAAAATGGTCTGAGGACCATATTTGCCAACACCCAAGATGTAAAAATCTGGTCATTTGTGTACATGTATTGATAATTATTCTATTTAAAAAAAGGCTTTACAGAATTATTTACGTACAATGATGAAAAATTATTGATTAAATTGAAAGGTTAAATAAGAACAGTGGTTTTATTTCCAGCATTGACCTGAATTATGGTAAGTCTGCATTAAAAAAAAAGCCTTTTCGGTATGTGCTAACAGGGACCTACATCATGTATATAATAATATATTTGTTTATATATAGGTCCCTGGTGCAATTTTAGAGGATTTGAAATTAACTTTCCTCTCTCATAATTAGGCCTAATTAATTTAATTAACCAGTGTAATGAGTGCTAAATGTACAGTAAGACCTACACTGTTTTCGATCACTTTATTTTATGTATTGGTAATGAAAGTTGTTTTCCAAGATTCCTTGACATGTACATAAATATTCTATTGTTTCTCTTTCTCTTAGTTCAATTTGTTCCTTCTGGTCTTGATAACGATCTTGTTCTATCGGAAGCCATTTTAAATTTTGATTTGTCAAAACAATTCCAATTAATTGTTTACACCTCCACCGATAATTTACTGGCCTACTGAACCACATAGCCATCGGCATTGTTTATGTAGATCAAGCTTGGGTTGTAACTGGAAATTAAAAATACAACCTAATTTACGAACCAAATCCGGAAATCGGGGATTCGGGCGATAAGCATGACTCGCCGTGTCATAAAAAATAATCAGGTTAAGGGTCGAAAAGTAACCTGACGAAAGTGGGTGAGTTGTCAACTATCTACAGGACTGTTGAAATTGTATGATTTTTAAGCAATTTATGGAATAAACGCAAAAGTGGCATGTATATTCCTACGCCAGATACATGAAGGTCTTGGTTTGAGTACTATATTATTTGGCGCATGAAGAAGACGGTGAACAGTCAGAGATTTCATCATTGCTATATGTGCGCCGAGCTAAAGCTCGACGCCATAAAAATTGTTATTGATAAAAGTTAGTGTGAACCGATTTATTGATTATAGATACATATATACATATCATATAAACATTAAATGACTTTTACTTTAAAACCCATGTAGATTGAATAGAAAGTGATTTAACATTTAAGGCAAATTCTTTAGGTGTCCCTAACAAATTCTTTTAAATGCAATATTTTAAAAAATAATGGTTATGACAAGTTGTGATAAAAAAAAATTAACTGTTGTAGTGAATTTTTATCACAAAGAGATAAAATACAATGGAATTAACATCTTTTAAACGTAAACCTGACAGACATTCCTTAACCTACCACATTCCTTCCTGGATTTCCCCATATAACAGTCCACTACCCACCGCCTGACTCAGATTTAGGACGGCAAGAAACGCAGCATAGCGGTAAAATGATTTCTTGGCTGCAAAAATCAAACAGGAACAGTTATATTATACAAACATTACTTGTATCATCATTTCCTTTAAATTTCGTAAATGTCCCAGATATAACACGGATGACCAGTATCAATGTTTACATAAGTTCCATGTACATCATAAACAGTGTGCAGTTTGAAGTAATTTAAGCTTTTTTTTTGCTGTAGCAATAATTTTTCAAATACTGTAGATCACTTAATTTTCACGACACCTTATTTTCGCAAGATAGTCATTGACTCTTTATTAGCGAGACAAAATTTTCGCGAATTGTTATCACTGCTTTATATAATCTTAAGGAAATATATTATATGTGAGAATTAAATTTTCGCGAGCATGCCGTCTCGTGTTATTATGCAAAAATAAAGTTATCGCGAATAAAAAGTGATTTACAATACTTTAAAGTTGTTACAGAGGAGCCTCATTTATCCAAATGCTTTGGTTCCCAGTCAATTTGTCTGGATATGTGAAGCGTCCGGATACCTGAATTACCAGTTAAACAAGACAAATAAAAGTTCAAAAATTCCGTTCCGATGAAAAGTCGTCCGGATACTGAAGCATCCAGATATCTGAAGGTCCAGTGTATGTGACTTTTATTGAAGGTAAAAATTTGTAGCATTGCATGTTCATCATCAGAAATACTTACGTGGTAGAGACCATCTTTCCTTAAGACTAGTCCAAGGTAAAATAAATATAACAGTGTATACCTACAAAATAAAACAAAGATAATGAATCACTAGTTCACAACGTAATGCAAAAATTCTACAAAACTCCACTTAATTGAAATGGTATTCCTCCTACACCCCTAAAAGTAATAATATACTTCATGTAAATAAAATGATTTTAAAAGCATAGTCAACAGGTTTAATTATCTCTTCTAATATCTTGAACAGATTCATTTGAATAATATTTATTATCTTTGACAAACATGACTACTCACAACAAAGAAAACAAGAGAACTGGTGATCCAGAATATCATTCCTCCGTGGGCGAAGATGTCAAAGTTCTGGTACGTCTCATTAGAGCCCTTCTCCACGTGGAACTGAGGGTCTGGATACTCAAACTCTAAAGTCCCCTACAAATGAAAAAAGTTAATTAAACATTTATTATGCAGATAAGTTCTTTTTTAATTAATTCTAAGGAAAAAATGTCAGCAACAACTATAAGCACAATTTCATCATTGGAGAAATAAATACAATCAGTGAATTTCAAAACTTTCGAACTCCCAAAATTAAATTTTTTTAAAGCCTTTTCCGTGATTAAGATTTCCTCTCTGATTGAATGGAATTTTTATTTGTGTCATTGCTATGGTTACCTGTGTGCAGGAGTATATAAGGGCTACACATGAAGTCACTAGTAATACTCGCTGTATGGATTTACCACTGTCTAAATGACCTGAAATATATAGAAAAACCATTCATTTCCAAGTACACAAATCCGATCTCATATTCTTATGCATTTTTAAACATAATTGTGTCTTATTATCAGTTAAAATATTACTGTCTTAATATGTAAATATAAAATATGACCTGAACTGTGACTTTTAAGGATTGAATTTCTAGATTTTATTTTTGAAGAACATGAGCATAATGCTGCAATGTCTTTCATAGACATACACCCATGTTAGAAATAACATACATGAATCAACAAAAAGAACAGAAGAGAAAAATGTAAAGATTTTTTATAATACCAAATGCCAGTCCAAAGACAATGATAGACATCTCTGTGGCAAGAAGGAAAAACCTGAGGACAAGCCATAGAACCTAAATGTACAAAAAACAAAAATCCTCATGATTGTTATTATCATAAATACACAGAGAGCCTCATCGTCTACATAAAGATTATTCCTCTCTTGAGCATTTCTTACTCATGAACATATACGCCTAAGGGATTTTTCCCTCCAAAATTTTATTTTACATGTTTAACTCCTGTAAACTTGCATTTGAATTCATGAAAATTTAATCTATTCATTAAAGAAATAACTTGTAGGAAAAATCTTAATTTTATTGTTTTTTCTCCACAAATGAAAAAAAAATAAGACTGCAACTAAAATATCAAAGTGTACGATTAACCTAAGTTTAAATAAAAATATTGCTTTAATTTTTTTACCATGAAAACCTCAGTGTGAAATTTCAATGTGATTGAATAATAACTCTCCTATTTTTAGCTGACCTTGTCTGTTATATCTCCAGCCAGAACGGAGGCATTGAGCCCAGTCATAGAAACAATACATCTCAGGACACTAATAGTTTGCCACCAAACACACCTGTCAATCAACAAAATCAGAAAATAAGTAACAAAATTTTGATATAAAAAAATAAAAAAAACAAACCAAGAAACACAACTCCCGAAATAAAATTACTCGCTTTTATTTTTAAATCGATGTAAAATCTCTTCATCCACTTGCGAATTATTGTTCTTGCAATTTGACGTTAAAAAGCCATTTTCGCAATAAATTACAATATTAAGTAATTTTCAAAAATAAGGATTTTAAAATATACACATGTAGAGTACTGTCGTATCCATTTGAAAATGGACAGCTGTAAAGCTACTCACCAGAACATAGAAAGCAGTAAATATGGGACTGCTGGTGCTCCGTAGTTTGATTAAAGGTACTCACCAGTACATAGAAAGCTGTAAATATGGGACTGCTGGTGCTCCGTAGTTTGATTAAAGGTACTCACCAGTACATAGAAAGCTGTAAATATGGGACTGCTGGTGCTCCGTAGTTTGATTAAAGGTACTTCACCAGTACATAGAAAGCTGTGAAATGTGGGACTGCTGGTGCTCCGTAGTTTGATTAAAGCTACTCACCAATACATAGAAAGCTGTAAATATGGGACTGCTGGTGCTACGTAGTTTGATTATGGCAGATTTGGATTTGTAGATCAGGAAAGCCAGAAAGAAAATGTTAGGAATCAAAATAATCAGGTCCAGTATCTCACTCTGTCAAAATATAATATATTAAATGTATGAAATGTTTCGTGAACATTTTAAATGATACAATTTTTATCATTTTTGACAAATGTTTCATTATCATATAAACTTGTACAATTCAATATTTACTGCAGAAATGCACCTCTCCCCTACTTTCCCGACAGAAATGAGAATAAATACAGAGAATTATTTTTTGTCACATTGTGTAATTTACTTCACTAAGGCATTTGCTGGGTCCATGAAATATTTAAAAAAAATAATGAGAAAATAATGATAAAAAAAATAGTCAAATTATTTTCTATAGAAAAGTTTGAATTTTTGACAATTAAATCATAATCAGTACAATCTCTGTATATATATATATAATTTTTTTCCGATTAAATCAGTACAAAGACTGAGTACCTTGATTCTCCAATATCATCGTACAGGATGGCCTGACAGACAGGCTCTGACAGGGTGAAGGAGGGGATGGGGGTGTGATTTCCAGAAAACGGAATAACCCCCGGTGTGGTCGTCAGATTGTTCTTTATGGGTAAGTTCCCATCCTTGTCCAATCTGTCCGCATTGCTTCCCAGCGACAACTTCAGATGATCAGACATGGATACTGTTGGCTACTTTAACCTACAATTTGTCAAATGGTGATTTTTTGTTCCTAAATTAACTCCTAGCTTCGTAGGAAAATTCATTTCTTTTAAACAAATAATGATTATCAAATATATTGTCAATGTGAAATTACAGAACTTTGACCCGCAACAGCAGTTTACCATCTTCAAAGTTTAATACAGTAAACATGGTAAACTATACACACATGCAGAAAAATTTTTAATGCATGTGTAGCGGACATGTATAGGGAACTTACTCTGCCTACAGCCAGTGAGCTAGCTTTTCTGGTGATGCGGTAGAGTCTCCCTCTATTTCAGGCAAGTTAAGCAACGACGAGCCTGTTTAATCCTTGGATGGGTGACTGCTTCACGTTACAAAATTGGTGGCAGCGTAGTGACTCTGGGTGTCTGGTGTCCTGCTTAGGAAGTCTCAAGAGCTAGGACTTAGTGTCCATAAACAGACTTTCGTGTTTGTGGACGGCAGTGGTTGCCGTATCTGATGTCAGGTTCCGACCTACTTCAGGAAGCTCTAAGACTTAGGAATTTGTGTCCCAGGTACGGACTTCGTGTCCGGGAACGGCATTGGTTGCCGTAGCTGAAGGGACCCAGGTACTCAGAGAGAACTCATGCTAAGCTTCGGGTCGAAGCTTCCCTGAGCGCGGGGGAAGTGTCGGCAGGTGTATCCAGGGAACTTATACTGCCTCGCCAGTGAGCTAGCTTTTCTGGTGATGCGGTAGAGTCTGCTCTATTTCAGGCAAGTTAAGCAACGGCGAGCCTGTGTTAATCCTTGGATGGGTGACCGCTCACGTTACACATGGTTTGGGGGGGGGGGGGGACTTACTAAATTGATAACAAGTGACATGTCAAGCCAAGGTTACTTAAATTTTCTTTTCCATGCTGTATCTGAATTTATATTTAAATAATATTTACAAATGGATTCTTATATATTTTAAAAAATAAATTTATAAATATTAATTTTTTTTAAAATAAATTAATACAATTTTAGAATTCTAGTTAAATATTTCCAAATCTTTAATCTCTAAAGTTAATTTTTTTATGTTATATAAATTCAGATGAACTTTCAAAGTGTATTTTGGAAAAGGGAGAGAGTAGATATTCCCCCAAATTTATCAAACTGAATATGGGAGGAGGGTCAATGAAAAAAGGGGGTCATATATTTCATATTTCAGTTAGTAACCTTCCTTATTCGTCAGAATTTGAATTGAAAAGCATATATTCTAAAATAATACTACACTGAATGTTTTACCTACGGTAAAAATGTTTCTAATTAGTCATTTTTCCTGAATTACGTCAAATTTTGTTTGGCAAACACCACCACTGCTTCCTGACTATGGAAAGTATTTGTACCATCCCGAGCTCGATCCTATTGACAACGTATCTTTTAAAATTCAACTAATTCATGAGGTTATTAAGAATATTTTGACATATTTACTCACTCTTTAACTGTTTTTATTAAAATATTCATTTCGATATATTATAATATATTATTCGGTACACCAAACTAACAAAATTGATTTAATGCATGGGTGTGAAATACTTTTGATTTCAAAGCTACTTTCACTTTAAACAAATTGTTTAGTGTGGTTCAACCAAACTAAAAATTGTTTAAAAACAAACACTTTGTCCCAAAATTGCATAGTACTGCAAGATTAGAATTGCGAAGGAGTGATGGAATCACCAGAGCTTAGCTGATATTTACAACATTTTATTCTAAAAAGTATCATGAGCTGCTTCAGTGGCAAAATGCGGGAGTACAGAAATATCTCTTTAGATAGATTTGATGGCTTAAACCTGAGATCAACAGCATACTTTCTGTCTCACTGTCATTGTGGTGAGTACTTGAACAATAAAATGCTTTCTTTGTTTGTTATTACTGGAATGAATCATTGAATGGAAGCAGCTGTTGCAGAAAAAATACATAACCCGTTATGTAATTTTTTTCTGTTGCAATAACTACAACCGTCATTCCAGTAATAGCAAACAAAGAAGCATTTATTGTTTATATTTATATCTGTTTAAATAATCAATTAAAGTAGGATTAAAAAGATTAATTAATATTGTATTAATAGTAACGTCTTTATACGTTTCATTGATGGAACAGCCACTGATTAAGAAATCTGTCTTACCAACTGTAGTTTATGCAGTGATGAACGCAATGGGGTTTCTTAAGAAATAAAGGAGAAAATATTCAGTGGATGTAAATATAACAAAATAATCAATATACTACACTGTATTTATTCGAAGAACTGCTGCGGTTTTACTTTATCCTTCCCCCTCCTTCATTCCTTTTTTCAACATTGGAAATAAAATGTAGAACAAATATATACCTAAGCCAACTTTGATTCATACATTTAAAGAGAATTAAAAAAAAACTTTACACAAAGGTTTACCAGAGTAAAAAGCTTCAATTTGGAGACAAAACAAATACCCCTGATTACCTGGTAGTATACAAATTATCAGCTGTCATATTATTGTGTTTGTATGTATCAATCTTGCTTGTTTTTTGCAATTGACTGTGATGCCTGCTAAAAAGGACCCAGATTTGGGAATAAAGAATCTTATAGTGAAAACCATTTAAGTGTTTGAAGACCTTCAAGATTCAAGATACTTCATTTACCAATCAGGGGCCATGAAAGACATTCCAACATTTGTTGATCATACAAAATAAAATTTCAGATCACATGCAAGGACTTGCTTATCCAGAATTTACTGAAAGGTTGTCCTCAAGGTGGGAGATAGTATTATATATTTTATATTATAACATCGATTCAATAAAGTATGGAGTAATGTCATGAATATAATGCATGTAGCTTTATGTATATTTATAGAGTGAAGATTGCTAACTACACTTTTTTGCTCTGAAATAATTTAAGCTTCACAGGTTCAAATTAATGATTATGCTTCAAAACTTTTGAATCTTGTTATTCTAATTTTATTTATTGTAAAGGAGACATAATCAAAAGTAGTGGACTTAAGCTTTTGCTGAAGTAAAAATTCAAAATGCAAATCAATTTTGCATCTTTTTCCTTTTCAGAAATGACATTTTTCTCTACTGCTCAGAGGTCACCAAAATTCTACTCATGGAGAAGCATCCTAAATTAGAGAAGTTTGTTGTAAGAATTCAGAAAATTATTATACAGTGTTTTCCTGCACCAGGAATCTTTGACTTAATTCAATTATCATCTCTAGTAATTTTTATAAAATTCATCTGTAACACTTTATATACCAAAGATGGTAATCTTTCATATTTAAGCAGACTTAACTTTATTATAAATTCTTTCCAAATCTTGTATAGAGAACTCTACCCGTGGCTGAACCCACCGTCATCCCAATTCCAGAACCTGACAAAGCTAAAGTAAGGCTTTGTAATTTATATGTAGATGAAGTAAGATGAAGTAAATAATTTGCAAAAATGTAACTGCATATGGTGTCAATCAAATTCTTCTGATTTAAAATATTGTTTACATGAACAAAGTTGATCTTAATTGAATAATAGATGACTTAACACACTTATGTTTGATCCACAGAAAGACGAGGTGACTGTGACACTGATACACGCCAGTCATTGTCCGGGGTCTGTCATGTAAGTAATTCAGTTTACTTTACTTTACTTGCTTTTGTCCTCAAACACTTGTCGAAGATTTAACAATTTTTTTTAAATGTTAGATTCATGGAAATTCATGACATTTCCATTGTTGTACATGTGACTGTATGTTTCTTGGATAAAGTATTGTTTATGATTGTTTGTAATGGCAGGTTTCTGTTTGAGGGATTTGATGGGACTGTACTGTATACAGGGGATTTCCGATGGGAATCTGACCAAGTCATGAAAATACAGGCACTCCATGTTGACCAGAGGTAGAAATGTCGTATAACATATAACTCATCTGTTCCAAAGGAAAAGTAGCATACATTATAAATAAGATACCACTACTTGGAAATACTTCCTTTCAAATGATTTATTTTACTACAAGTTTATTACATGTAAAAGAGTATATCTATTTGAATTTTATGTTTTTATCACATACCGTATAATGGGTATTTTCTGCGGTTGTCCAATTTTTGCCGAATTTTGCGGATAGGACAAATCCGCAAAAATTACAATCGCAAAATATTTTACTATGCCTTCAGGTATTTCAAACATGCAAGTATGTGTCTGCAGACTCATGCGTGGACATGTCTTCGTTCGCGAGAAAATTCGGGTGAGATCGAAACTCCGATAGATGCAAACAAAATATGACAGTTTTTCTTTCTTTCTTATTTTCCACTTTTCAATCATGTGTTTTGTCTTGAGACCATGATTAATATTACTGCTTGTGTATACAAAATGGTTTGATTGTCTCATGAATTTCATTCCAATTAGACCACTGACAGTATTTTACACCTCAATGCGTGACACGTGCAATCTATGGGGTGGTTGATTATGCAACTGTTTGTTTTAGCTTAAAATGAAACTCCCGAATGAATTTTGATGGCAATTAATTATAAGTATATTTCAGATTATGGCTTGGAGGTATCAATTATCATTATCTATATACTTTTTAAAATTATTTTGATAGATCATATTAATGAACGTCTGCGGTGTTAGATTAAAGATTTTAATTATTGTTTGACTGG